TTTGGGGGTCTTCCATGGAAGTCTGCAGATAGCAGGTTCTAACTGATGCCCCTCCCCACATGCCTGTTACAAGTCTGGGCTCCTCTAGACATCTGGCTAAATAACCCGTAAGAAGGAACCTTTACATAATGTCCTGTGATTTTTCTGCACCAGCTTGCTGGGGTGAGGGCAGGAGGCACATCTCTCATTGGCAGAGCTGCCAAGAGCCCCTCCTCCAAGGAGTGGGGACCATATAGGCTGTCGTCCAGACTGGGACATCTCTGAGAGGGAAAGAGGGCACTATTAGTAACCATGTAGGTCAACAGGTATAACCAGGGCTGCCTTGGCCAAACCTGGGTGTGTGGTCATTCTTCACGGGGCAGACAGCACACCTGGGCATCAGTATGAACCAGCAGGCAGGTGAGTGCCCTCTCACGGGGGTGAGTGGTATTTCTCATTCCTTACACAGCTCCCCAGGTGTCCTGGAAGGGCAGGTGTTGCCTTCCCTGGACTTGCTGCCCCAAATTGCAGGGTCCGACAGGTGATGTCTCAAGTTCATTAGGCTCTCTGCCTGCTGGCACATGCCATGCATTGCTCCTCAGCTGGAGGTCTGGGGGTGATCCCTCGCCTCTCTTCAGGCCGCTCAGGATTTTAGGTGCCTGATGTCTGTGTCCCAATCTCTCCTGGCCATTGGCCTGGACCCCCAGAATCCTTACAGTTCAGGACACCCCCTCTGTACCTCTCTCCACTCCTGCTCCGGCCTGACCCTCAGCATTTCAGCTTATAAATGGCAGTCACTCCCTCCCTGTGCCAAGATCCCTCTGGGACCTTGGGTTCCCTCCTTAAGGCTCTCAGTGCCCTCGGGCTGTCAGGGCCACTCCCTGGCTGTCGCTGCTGTGCTGTAGCTGCAGCTTCCACTTGACTTTGTGTCCGGAGGTTGTGGGTACGGAGCATCCTGGGTCTGCTTGACCACCCCTAGGCTGTGGCTCTACTGGGTGTCTTTGCTGCCATGGCCTATGGCCCTTTCCAGCACTGACTGCTTTTTCAACCTCTCCTTCCCTGCTGCTCCTCACATCTGGTGTGGGGCCAGGGCTTGAGGGAGCTGAGAAGTGTCAGTCCTCCTGGCTTCCCCTTTCTCGGCCTCCTCCTGATTTCTTCAAAGTAAGGGCTCCCCAGGCTCTGTCCCCAGCCCCTCTCTTTTCTTTGTCTCTCCATCCTCTCTCTTTTCTGCAACCACTCCCATTCTTGACCCTCTTATCTAAGTTCCCAATGTTTTTCACACACCCTTCCCCCCGCCACCACATACTGGCACCTCCTACCAACCCCCTGGATGCTACATTCTATCCCCCCCCCCAAGTTGCTGCTCAGAATTTTCCCTGTTCCTTCAATGGTGCCTTCCTGTTCCAGGCGTGGGCCAGTGCTGAGGACTGTCAGGACCTCCTGACCCCCTGGCCCTCCTGCATAACCCTCAGGCCACTCTTTCTCCGCCTCTCGCTCCATCCTCCATTCTCTCTGTTGATCTACCCTCAGAGCCACATGGTGGCGATTGGGATATTCTGTGTCCCTGCTTGGCCTCTGGCCTCTGTCATGCGTGTTTGCTATTGCCAGATTCCACTCAATTCAGCTCCACCAGCGACCGTGGGCTCTGCTCGGGGGCTCAGTGAGGTGCCCTGGAAGGCTCAGTGAGGTGGAGGCAAGGAGAGCCCCCTCCCAGGATCGCCACCCAGATGTGCGGAGCAGCAGAGATGGAGGGATTAAGAAAGAGCAGTGTGTACCAGCCATGGGCAAAGGCCATGGAAATTTGGGGCTGATTTCCTGGAAGAGGGGGACACGTGATCTAGACCTCAGAGAACAGTAGCCGCTTTCCGTGTTGATTGTATCAGTAAGAAATTGGAAGCGCGGAGCACTCAGCAGGAGACTGCATCAACACGCCACGGGAAGCTCTCAAACAGGGCACCACGCTGCTGCTGCAATGAAGCAGCATGGCCGTGGATAAATCTCAGTGACACCATGTAGGGTGAAAAAGGCAAACTGAAGATTGATGCGCAAGGCATGGTGGTGCGATTTACATAAATCCTAAAGGCACACAAAGCAATATTCTCTATTATTGTGGATGCAGATATTTGTGGGAAGAGTACAAATGTGTGGGAGTGATAAATATACCAGATTTACCGTTGGATACAGATATTTGTGGGAAGAGTACAAATGTGTGGGAGTGATAAATACCAGATTTACCTTTGGGGAGGAGGGAGCAAAAAAGGACAGGAGGAGGGAACTTAGCTATGGCTGTATTCTATTTCTTTGCAAAAAAAAAAAAAAAAAAAAAAGGATCAGAGGCAAATATGGCAAAAATGTGAGTATCTATTCAATATGGGTGATGATGGGTACATAGGCACTTGCTATATTATTTTCTTCTTATGTGCCTTATTCTGTAACTAGACATTTGAAAAGAAGTTAGAAGACCATTAGGGGAGATGGCAGTCTACACACAGGCTGATTATTTCCTACAGGGGACTGGTGTGAATCAAGGGACAGGGGGAGGATGAGGGCACCTGGGATAGCAGGGCACAGCTGGGCAAGGCTGGAACAGAGGTGGGTTGGTAGGGCAAGAAGCCTGGGTGATGGCTTGGGGGCTGGTGGTTCTAAATACGGGGTAGGTGGGTTTCTAAAGGGGGGCACACAGACTTTCTCTTTCTGCCTATTTGCCTCTCCCTTCCTCCTCCATCCCTCTCCTTATCCTCACCACAGCCTCTGGCTGAGTGACTTTCCAGTCAGTGATTTATTCATTTCTTATCTTATACTGAGAACCCACTGCCAAAGCAATAGCTCATATGGCACTCACTATGTTACAATCACACATAATACATCACTGAAGTCTTATTAACCCCCCTGTAGGTTATCATTATAACCATCACCACCATCCTTATTTTATAGATGAGGAATGAGAGACCCAGAGAGGTTCTGGGATTTGCTGCAAGTTATCCAGCTAGTAAGAAGCAGAGCTGGGATTCGAACCCAGGATCTCTGGTACCAGATCCTGTGGTCCTTGCTGCTGTGCTCTATTGCTTTTCATATGCCAGGCACTGTGCTGGGTGCTTGTCTGGCTTCCCCACACCAGCACAGTCCTGCTCTTGCAGAGCTTATGGGCCAGTCGGGGAAGTCAGACACCAAACCAAGCAATACCCGATGTGATTATAGCTAAGGAGCTAGTAAAGGAGGAGAGCCTGTGCCACGAGGGAGAAAACACAGAGAAAGACACACTGAGGCTGAGGCATCTGGGAAAGCCTCTCTGAAGAGGGGACATTTATGCAGAGACCTGAAGGATGGGGAGTTAGCCGGGAGCGGGGGCGGGGGGGGGGGGGAGAGGGGGAGTTGGGCAGGGCAGGCCAGACAGAGAGAAGAGCAAATGCAAGGGCATGAGGGATGTGGGCAAGGAACCAGAAGAGGGTCAGAGGGGCCAGAGGGGCAGGGAGCACAAGGCAGGGCAACCAAGCCATGAGGCCAGAGGGCAGGCAGCCCATCATGTGGGGCTCTCCTTACAGGAAGGGGACCACAAATCCGGGTTTGTCTCTATTGTCCTGGTTCCTGCCCGTGCTCTAAGCAGAAGTATTCCTAGCGTCACATTTTGGTTTGGACAATGATACATTTGAAGGTCACCTTCTCATAGGCCATAATGGAGAGTTTAGATTTTGTTCCCAGGGCAGGGAGAAAGCATTGAGGGGTTTTCACCGAGAGTGACACTAATTTATAATGTATAAAGATCACTCTGGCTGCTGTGTGTGGAGAGCCGGCAGGGGAGCAGGAGGGAGGCCATTGTCCCAGTCCTGACTCCGCTGCAGGGTGTGGAAGAAGCAGGCTCCGAAAGGCAGGGGAGGTCCCTGCGTGGGCCTGCTGAGGTTGCAGCCATGGGCGAAATGACTCAGGGTAAATCTGTCCCCGGAAATGCTGTTCTCCATCTCCTCCCGGGGCTGACCCAGCCCCAAGGCTTCCAGGAGGACCCCCAGGTGTGGGAGGAAGCCCCTCAGAACTGCCGCCCACTTTCCAGGTCCGTGGGGACCCTCGTGGGAGAAATAGGAAAGTTTTTCAGAAGTGCTGACATACTCAGTAAATTAAAGAAAGACGATGAACATCAACTTTCCATTTGATAGTTTGCCTCCTTCCCTTTCCTTCTTTCTCCCACACAGCCCCTCCCCCAATTCCAGAAGTTAGAGCCCAGGGCATTCACAGATTCCAGCTTGGGAGGGTTTCGGGAGGGGACCAACTTCCAAACGGAATGAGTGATGGGAGAAAGCAGGTGGCTTCTCATGCGTGCTGATGTACATGTCGACTGGGCAGGGCTTGCTGCCCATGAACAAATGTAGGCCTATGCTATCTGGGGGTTGACATGTATATCTGGGTGTGTGTGTGTATGTATGAGTGTGAATCTGTTAACATGGCTATTACATACTATGAGCAGATGCTTGCACAGATTTCCATTGACCTTTTATATTTAGCGGCATCCAGAGTGAAAAACAAGCCCAGGATGGTAATGACAATGAAGGGGGAGTGGAAGGACAGAAAAGTTAGAACCCTGTGAAACAACTTTTGCAAGCACTAAGAGCCTCTTGTCCTCCTCCCCTCCCCCAAAGCCGGGCCACACTTCTAAGTGTTTCCCAAATTTTTGACATATGTGTACCCCTTCTATAATTTTCGTAACGCTGAGTACCCCTCGTACTCATGAGAACATATGATAGAATTAGGCGCAGCTAAGCACAGTGCAGTGCATATCCCCACTAAACTCCGGTGCAACGCGTACCGCCACCAAACTCTTCCCATACCCCTGGGGGTACGCGTGCCACACTTTGGGAAACACTGGAAGGGACCAGGGAGGTTGCTAAGCCCACCTTCCATTCTTCAGGTGGAGAGCCAGCTGGGGCAGGGTGGGGTGGGGGGTGAGGGGGAAAGTTGCCAAGCCTGGGTGCCAGGAAGGCATAGCTCCAGGCTCAGGAAGGAAGGGCTGCTGGGGGAGAGGGGTCACTCACCGAGTGGCAGGACGAAGAAGAAGGGGAACCAGCAGAGCACGAAGACTCCCACGACGATGGCCAGCGTCTTGGCGGCCTTCTTCTCGCGGGAGAACTTGAGCAGGCGCACGGACAGCGAGCTGCGGAAGGTGTGGCCCTTGGCGCTGCGCAGCCCCCGGGGCGCCCCGTCGGCACCTGCACCCGAGGCGGCGGCGGCGCCGCGGCGATGGATGCGCAGCACCACCTCAGAGGCCTTGCCGCGCTCCCGCTTCACGCCGGCCTCCAGGCTGCGCGTGGTGCTGCGCGCCACCACGTACACGCGGCAGTACATGACGAGGATGACGGCCATGGGCAGGTAGAAGGAGCACACGGAGGAGAAGACGGCGTAGCCCACCTCCTCGGTGATGCTGCAGAAGCGCTCGTCCGGGGGCACGGGCTCCTTCCAGCCCAGCAGCGGCCCCACGGACACCACGAGGGCCACGGCCCAGAGCAGTGCCAGGATGGCGGCCGCCTTGCGCTCCGTCATGATGGTCGGGTACTTGAGCGAGTGGCGCACGCCCACGTAGCGGTCCACCGAGATGGTGCAGAGGCTGAGGATGGAGGCGGTGCAGCACAGCACGTCCACGGCGGCCCACACGTCGCAGAAGGCCCGGCCGAAGGCCCAGAAGCCCAGCACCTCCATGGTGGCCGAGAAGGGCAGCACCGTAGTGCTCAGCAGCAGGTCGGCCACGGCCAGGTTCACGATGAAGTAGTTGGTGACCGTCTGCAGGTGGCGGTTGCAGGCCACCGAGAGGATGACCAGTAGGTTGCCCGCCACGGCCAGCAGGATGAAGGCGGCCAGGAAGACGCCCACGCCCACGCTCTGCGCGCTCACCACCAGCCCCCCGACGGCCGCCGTGCCGTTCACCTCGCCGCCGCCGGCGCCCACGGCCCCCGGGGCCCCGGGGGAGCTCCGGTTGTCCTCGCCGCCGCCCGCGCCCACCACGCCGCCGCCGCCGCCGCTGCCGCCCCCCGCGGCCCCCGGCACGACGCCCCCCGCCGGGCCCTCCGAGGCCGCCGCGCCGCCGCCGCCGCCCCCGCCGCCGCCCGCGCTGGAGCCCGCGGCGCTGCCGTTCGGGCGCGGTCCCTCGAAGCTGGCGCTCAGGAGATCGCGGAAAGTCATCTCAACGCGCGGCCGTCGGGGGCAGGACCCGGGCCCCGGCACAGTGACTGTCAGGGAGGAGGGCGCCGGGCATCGCCGCGGGGCTCCGCTCCAGCCCCGCGCCCCGCGCCCCGCGCCCCGGTAAGGTCGTCGGAGAGAGGAGTCCTGCCCAAGTTCCCGCGACGCGGAGCTCCGCCGGCCGCAAGCAGAGGGGGGCGGAGGGGCGGCGGCGGGGCTCCCCGAGGCTGGCGTGGAGTCGGACGGGAGAGCCGGCCACCGGCGAGCCGCTCGGAGCGCCGAGGCGAGCGGGGACAGCGCCGGCTCCCGCCCGGGCGGTGCAGGCGGCGGCCACTGCGGCGCTCGCCCGGGCGCTGGGGGCGGGACGGAGGAGGGGCGGCGCGGGGACGGGAGGGGGCGCCCGGCGCCCGGGGTGGGTGGGGGTGGGGAGGTGAGGGCGCCACTTTCGCCGCCTCGGGTAGGGGCTGTGCGCTCCCGCCAAGCGGGGGTCCAGAGGTCCGGGCGTCCGGAGGTTGAGGGGCGCAGCCGCGCACTCCAGCCCCGCGCCAGCCACCCCAGCCTCGCCGCAGGGTGTCCCCGGCCACCTCTCTCCTCGAGATCTGCTCCGCGATCCCTCCCTCGCCCTCCCCGGCTCCACTCCCTTTCTCCTCTGCTATGTCCCTCTTCCTCCCGCCCTCTCCCCAACCTCTCGGTCACTTGCTGGTGCCCTTGGGTTCACGCAGGGTAGAAGGAGCGATCCTCCGGTCCCCGGGCTCCCGACTTTGGCCGCCAGGGAGCAGCAAGCGCCTGGGATTTGTGGACTGCGGGCTGAACCGCGCCATGGCATGGCAAGTCGCCTCCTGGGACTCCCTGGATGGACCTGTGGCACCTCTACCTTCTCTCAGGGCACCGGACAGGGGAGGGTCTCAAACACCCCTGTCCAGTGCGATGGCGAGGAGAGAGCCCTGGAGGGGGTCAAATGCCAGTCCTGGCTTGGGTCGGGCAAAGGAACAAGAGACTAGATGGTGACAGAATTGGGAGCCCGACCAGGACACACCGGTTTGCATACACTGACTTCTGCTCTGTTACTTGGCTCCATATCGGTCGTCAGAATAAAACTTGCTTGCTACACTAACTAAGCGGCTTCCTTCTGGGGCAGGAGGGATGTGCTGGAGGGTGGGAATGAGGAATGAGCACTTAGTAGACGGTTAAGGTGGGGGCAGAGGCTGCAGACCATCTGGCTCCAAATCTAGGATCCACCTCATATTAGTTGTTGGACTTCTTTCTCTGTGCCTCAGTTCCTCATCTGTAAATGAGGCTAAGCGTGGTGTCTACTTAATGGCGTTGCAATGAGTTAATGTGTTAAGGCTTCAGAGCTGGCCTGTGTTTGCTAGCTGAATGGAGTTTGGTAGGGCAAGACTTGAACAGGGAGCACAGAAGGGGCAGAAGGGCTGAGGAACTGGCACCAACCATTGACAGAGGTTCAGGGGACGGTTTCAGGAGCCTCTGCTGTCTAGGTAGGACTGGGTAGGGAGAGATAAAAAGAGATTGCTCACTTGACTAAAATAAATAACTGCTGTCATGGGTGGGCCCTGAGCTGGACACTCCAGGTGGCAGGGGAAGGGGGAGTTGCAGGGAGGATAGCATCACTGTGTACATGCAGCATGAGGAAGGCTGGTGCCATGCTGGGAGGTGAGAGCCTGTTGGAGAGGTGTCTGGGAGGAGGAGGAGAACTCACAGCCTTGGCACCCACTGGCTGTGGATGACATGGGCAGGATGTCTACAAGACCTAGATGAGAGGTGCTTGGAAGAAAAAAACAGAAATGAGAGAGGAGTAACCCCTTGGACCCTAGCCCAGAAAGCCAAAGCTGTTCATAGTTTAGAAATAGCTCTTCCAATGCCCTTCCCAAGTTCCCCCATTACCACTTCCAACTTTACTTGGGTCTTTGATAATTAACCAGAGATGAAATGAAAGCAAGGTGAGCCTGGAGACCCCACTGACCCTTGGGTTCTTTGTGACCCAGTGGCGTGGCTTCCATTTAAAACGGAAAACTAAAAAACACCTGTGCTTATCTCCTCCCCGTCCTGAGACCCCTTTAGAGTGAGAGCAAAGAAAAAGGAAGGTTCATCCTACAAGTATGTTAACTCCTAGGCTGATAAACCTGAACTTCAGCCCCTAAAGTGGAGGCTTGAAGGAAGAGGTATGAAGGGACCTATTCCTCACTAGTGGAGATGGTGCAGGCGACTGTCATGTTCAGTCAGATGCTGCGTGAAAAAGAAAGCTGATGGAGAAGGTGTTCCTGACAGATATACTGTTTGTGGGGATGAGCCGGTCAACCCCCCAGTTCCCTTCCCCCCCACCGAGCCTGGGCAACCTTTATTATTCATGCAACACAAGTTACTGAGGCCCTAGTGTATGCCAGGAACTGTTCCTGGCACTGGAGATACAACGTTGAATAAAGCAAAGTTCCTACCATCCCGAGCTCACATTTAAGCAGCAGGGAGTGCTACCCAAAAGAGTTAGGAGGAAAGTTTTCCCATCGCTATGGACAACCGTTTCCTCTGGGCTGCATATCTGGGTCCTGGAGATGATCGTCAATTAAATCTTCAAAGAAAATCCAAATCCAAACTCCTCCAGTACCTCCTCACCTCTGAATAGCAGCCGAGCCTGAAAGGGTACAGAATCATGCATGTCACTGGCAAGCATGGCTAAAGGTGCCACTTCCTGGCGTCAGTGCCTATGGAGGACATGGACTTCCATCCCAATCTTCAGTTGCAAAGGGTTCTGTCACCCTCCTCTGACTTAAAAAAAAAAAAATTATTGATTTTTTACAGAGGAAGGGAGAGAGATAGAAACATCGATGAGAGAGAAACATCGATCAACTTCCTCCTGCACCCCCCCACTGGGGATGTGCCTGCAACCAAGGTATGTGCCCTTGACCAGAGTCAAACTCAGGACCTTTCAGTCCACAGGCCAATGCTCTATCCACTGAGCCAAACCAGTTTCAGCTCATCTGACTTTTAAGTTTCCTGTGGTCTGACTTGCCCCTGGCTACAACCTAACCTACAACCTACGCCTTCCTGATCCTCTCTAATTGTGTTATTTACACCAGATACACACTGTGGTCAGGGCTGGGTGAGGAGTGAGGGCTCAGTACTACCCTCTCCCAGGATAGCAGAGTGGTGCTCAGGACAGGCCACCTGTGAAGTTACAGAGTTAGGAACTCAGGGTTAGGGACTATGTGGGCAGAGCACGTTGATTCTGCAGGAAGGAGAAACTGCAATCCATCCTCCCAGCACTACCAGAGAGGCTGCGGGGGACTTGAGGCCAGTTTATGATTTGATTATTTATGCTAATTTTTGCTTAAAATTAGAAGTTAGTGACTATATTTCCCATCATGGTAGAGACAGGATGGGCCCAATGGAATGATATTCCTACTCAGAGCCTGGCAAGCAGCCCACTGCTCCGGAGGCCCTTGGGGTGACAGTTTGCTTTGCAATTGTGTTTGCTCTTTAGAGCTATTCTCTCTCCTTTTTATTTTTATTTATTTATTTATTTATTTATTTATTTATTTATTTATTTATTTATTTTTTTTCCCAAGGAGAGGAAACAAGCTGGGAAGCAGGATATTGGATACATTTGGAAGAACCACTAGGGTGGAAAACTCAGAGCGGGGCAGAGATTAGTTACGATAAGTGAAAAACTTTATTTCTCATTTACTTGGGCAGCTCTGTTGGACAGGGCTCCAGGGGGTGAGGGCAACTCCTTCTAATATGTAGCTTACTGTTTCCTAGAGCCCGGAGTCCTCCTCTAGATTGTCTATAATCAATGGCCCCAAGAACCAATGAGGAACATGGAGGATTACATAGACATTTTAGGAGGCAAGCACACCACCTGTGTCCAAGGCCATGCCTCCACTTAGATGCAAGGGGGACGTGATTCAGTGAAGTGCCCAGAGAAAAAGAGAATAGGTTTATTTGGTGGTGATCCAGCCTGTCCAGGACCCAGGACAGGAAGAGTTGCAGGAAGACTCAACTTGAACTTTCGTTAGGCAATGCCTGATGGATAGATTATAGAAAGAGCACATAGATTGGCTGCTCTGAAGTTTCCAGTGAACACTCTACCCAGCAGACCAGGCCCAACATACATATTTCTAGCATGACTTATTAAAAAAGGGTCAGAATGAGAATGGCATTTGGGAATGAGCTGGTGACAATGACAATTCAATGCACTCAGCTCTCAGAATGCAAGAGGAGAGTGAAGGTGGGCAGTGGAGTTTCAGCTAGCCTTGTTCTAACCCTTCATGGAGAGTAAACATCTTCTGGTAGAATCCATCTAGTGACCTTGGGAATCTCTTTATTAGTGCTTGAAATTCTGCCCCTATAATCTGGGTTATTTAACTCCAAGAACCAGAGTTTTTCATTACATCACAAATTCCTTGACCTCCTAGTAGAGGTGACATAAAGAAAGATGAGAAAGTTCTAGGGATAAACTTTGCTAACCTGACAATTTCTCCGACTCGCAAATGGAGCAGCAAATGCGAACCAGGGAGGTTTCCTAACACAGAATTAAAATAAGTCCGTCAACTCAGAGGAAGTGGCCTATAATCCAGTTGCTAGGCCAGGCAGGGTTGCATGACTCCAAACCCAATTAGGGAGGCTGAGACAGCTCCTGCTGGGATGTCCGCCCTCCAGCTCACAAATGAGATGGCCTGGAGCCATTTTCCATTTCCTTTCTCCTGGGCCAAGATTCAATCTCTGGAGAAGAAAGTGAAGAAAAGAGGATTTCTTTTGACTAATTCCCTGGAGGAATGGAAAGATGGAGGAAGAAAAAAAAAAAATTCCAAGTGTCCCAGGGGGGGGAAAAAAAAATTAGGAGGTGAGGCTGGCCTCCCCACGTCAGTGTTCTCTGTGCCTTATACTTGAGATCCTACCAGTTCTCACCCTCTCTCTCTTCTCTGTGAGTTCATCACTTAATCTTTCTAAACCTCCATTTGTAAAATGGTGATAACGTGGTCCCACAT